TCCAAGTCAAGAGGATTGATGGGGTGGCCATACATTGTGCAAATGAGAAAATCCAAGACATGACAAAAGGCCAACCAAGCCTGGCAAGAAACTTCACAAGAAGCATGTTTGCCAATGGTGTCAGAAGCTGACACCTTGAGTTTCTTTGCTGCTCTGCGACTGTCCACTTTGCTGAATATCTCATTCAGCTTGCAGCTTTTGTAAGTTGCAGGGAGGACAAAAAAAGTAGAATAGTCAGCCATCTTTGACCAAGCTTATCTTCAAAGAGCCTGTAGACACATACATTCATGCATCCCTGGCACACACCATGCATCCAACATGAAGCTGGAAATAGGATCTATGAAAGGTCTGAGTCTGGGACACATCAATAAGCCTTCTTTGCAAAAGGACCATCCACTGGCTTGCTCCCAAAGCTTGAAAGATTTCTTGCTCTCAGAAAGGAACCTGTCCTGGTGTCTATCCAAAGAAGCACATACTTCTGTGCTTGTGCCCAACACAAGCTCATCCTTCCTCAAAGCTTGGGAAGCATTGATGCTGGAGCATTTCAAACAGCTCTTTGTTGCAGAGTCACCTTTGATGCCCAAAGTCATCTTTTGGCTGGCCCCATCTTGGATGAAGATGGACAACTTAAAGAATAGTCGAAAGCTCTCCTGTAGAATTGGGCCCTGCAGAACCACAGCCAGATCAAGTGGTGAAGCTTTTGTAAAGAAAAATATGTCCAGCAAAATAGTTTTCATGATTTGACCCGTTTGGCCAGAGACTTTGGACACCAAAGATGACCGTGCTATCATCACAAGCAACCAGCTGTCTTGGTTGCTCAAAAACTTGTGCCCAAACTCCTTGAAAGTTGCATAACAAGCCCAGAGTTTCTTTTCAGATCTATTTGACAAAGGTTTTGCTGGCCAACACTCATCACTGTAAATCATTAAGGACCATGGCTTGGCAGCAGAGGGTGCCCCAACCTTCTGGACAGTGTCTTTGACCAAGTGGTAGAAGAAACCTCCTTGCTTGTAGCATGCTGGAGTAAGTTCAGTGTTCATGGCTTCATATTCTTGTGCCTCTTTTAAGTTCCTCTTTGTAGCTATCGAAGGCTTCTGTGTACCAATCATACATCTCGTCTCGACCCTTCCTCAGCCTATTTGCTTCATCTTCTCGGTGTTTGAGATCTTCGCTGTTTTCATCGGTGGATCGAGAGGTTGGTAACCCTCTTCCTTCCCGACTACCGTCTCGTGTTGGGCCGTGACGTATCTCTGCCTTCATCTTTGCATTTTCCGACCTCGTTTCCGATAGCTTCTTCTCGGTGTTCTGTAGGTTTTCCTCGAGTTCCCGGATCTTCTCTTCGATTCCTGCTTTCTCTCGTTAAGTCCTCAGAAATTCTCTCTCTTCAATACTTTATTTGCCTCGGCAAGGGCGAGATTGGCTTCCTTCAACTGTTGTTGTTCCTCTTTTGCATGTCGTTGGGCGCCATACGCTGCTTCCTCGACCGTTTTCGTGGCTTCGGCCATCGCTCTTGCTTCATATTCAATTTGTTGCGCTTTCATCTCCTTTTCTTTGAGCTCTAACTGGTATCCGTGAATCCCGGACTTTTGTTCAAAGTCACGGGTGTTCATCTCTGCAAGAGAACTCAGTTCTGATCCTTTGATGATAGCTAGTTGTCCGAGGAAGGTGTTCAACCATTCTTTGCTCTTGATACTGATGACCGGTAGTCTCAGTCATCTCGGCGGCCAACTGCATTTGTCGTACTTCATTACTCCACTGCTTTTCCCTTTCCCTCTGAGCTACTTCCAACATGTTGCTGTTCTCATCTTGTAGTTCCAACATTCTTGTTTGACGATCTTTGGCAACGTTCATGATTGCACGGTTCTCTTCGTTCAAGCTCTGAGCACGTCGGTTGTAGGCACCAGAAGTTTGGCTCTGCTCTTGTGCTCTTGGATGTAATGAAACGCACTCTGCATTTCGCTGTTCATATCATTCATCTTGGATCTCACTTCGTCAAGTTGCGATTGTTCTTCATGACTTTCTTGAGCAAGTTCTTCGTACTTCGTGTAGATGTGATCCGCTAATGATTCAGCAAGCCGGAGCTTTCTCTCAAGTTCTTCAAATCGAATAGTCGCTCCTTCATCTTCTTGCATCATCTCTTGTAGGTTCAAGCGCACAGTCTTGTTGCATTTTGTCAGTTGCGAAAACTCCTCCTGCGATTCGGTGTAGAGTCTTGTATACCCATCACGTAGACAGCTATTTTCGTAGCTGATCGCAGTTCCTCAATGAGTCGCATCTCTCTCTCTCTCTCTTTTCGGAGTCTTTAGCATCCTCGACCTCGACTCTTTCAATATCTCTCTTGGCTGATCTTCGTGTAGATGTTCTCGGTGATGTTGATCTTTCAAATCTCTTCAATACTCCCTTCATGTTGCCTGTTGTGCCGGATCCAGCAGATGTCGTCTCCGGTGGAGCGACTTCGCCTTCACCAAATATCTGTGACCCTGTTGGCATGGTCACTATTGTGGCGTCTGCAGAGCTCGCACCGGTCAATGACCCCGGTGACGATTGAGATGCAGCTCCTCCAGGTGAAGCAAAGGAAAACTGCTCGCTGCTCTTTCCTCCACAACTAGACATTGCAGGTCTTGCAGGTCTAATGTCGACAACTCACTTGTGGTCTCTTTCAAGCTCGTAACCTCTGAGCGGCTACGGCTGATAACCTGCGCGTGGATATTAACCGCGGGTCAGTGAATGATCCTCAGCTATCCTATGTGTCCATGAGCATTGAGCAAAGCGAGGCGCTTATTTTCTCCGCCAATGGCTCCTTGAGCCAAAGGTTGGCAGTTGTCTCACGCATCTATATTGACTGTACATATAGTGTGCCTGTGACTGCACTTACGTTGACAAATTAAGTTCCATAAGTTCCAGCTAAGTCCACTTGATCTGCCTCACGCACACTTGACACTTGAGACCAAACTAGTCACCAAGTACTCGCTGGGCCCCCTGCAGCTTCCAGGCGGAATTCCTCTTTCAGAGGTGAGGAATCTGGGCCGCTGAGGAGCCCCTGGGAACGATGTTCGCGGTTGATGGGCTCGGGACTTCCTTGGTCTGAACTCCAACTCCATCACGATTGCGTAGATGCACGCCAATTATCTTTGGCGTCAGGGGAAGCGGGAGCAACACTTGCTCCTTCCTCATTAGCGTCAAGATGCCTTCTGCTGACTTGACCATGGAAGTTCCAGAAAGAGCCCTGTCAATCAGCACGTTGAAGGTGGATGTCACTTCAGATGGCAAGCTGTGCACGCCATTCTTCAAGGTAGCTGTGATACTCGAAGATAGATAAGTAGCACAGGTAGAACATTAAGTCTGGTAACCACTTACTGTAGTAACCCTTGTAGCTACATAGTAAGCAGAGTGCCCTAAGTAGGATATATCTCTTGGGTGCTTTTTCGCGGTCCAAAATGGAGGTCACCCTACTGTCACAAACCAAAAGAAGAGCTGGTGGTTTCACCGGTGCCCCGCACTCACGTCGCCGCGCGAAGCAAGCCCTCTCCTGGCTTGGCGGCGCTGGCTTGAATCCCTCCCGCGCGGGTCCAGAGCTCACAACGGCCGCCTGCCACCCGTCCGAGCGGCGCCCAGACACGGCACAGGATGCGAGTAGCGGGCGCGCGAGGATGACAGTCCAAGTAGCGGGGCGCAGTCTGAAGTGTTTTGCCAAACTGAAGGTTATGACGTATGATGACGTATGTACGTCTATCATATCAGGTTTCCAATGGTTTCCAGCCAAAGAAACAATAAAGCCACTGCAGCGCGCCTTTAGTGAGGTCCGGGGGTCCCTGAGGTCCTCGCCTTCATGATGTTCAACGCCCACACACTCCGCTTCTGACTGGCACATCCGCTGGCAGCCCTCCAGCGACAAGCCTGGAGGTCGACAGTCGGCAGGTCTAGTCGGCGCAGCGAGAGAGATCGGGATGAACAGTTCGTGGTCAATGATTTATTGAGAGAAGCTTGTGACAGCAGCATTGCCCCGTTTAAATCGCTTTTTGCCGACCCTCAGTTCGTCCATTCCACAGAAAGCTTGGATACGAAGGGATACTGAAGGGCCCATGTGAAGTCCAAAAACGAGACATAAGTCATACTACAAAGCCGTGCGCAAGGAAACAATTCTCAGAAACACCTTGTGCTTGCGCAGAGGTTTGGGCACTTGCTCAGATGGCTCAAAGAGTACCCTGACACACGTGACTCAATGACTCAAGCCTGCAAGCCCTATGTCTAATCGTTTGGCCACATCGGTTTTGGGAGCCTCTGGAGAAGACCACGAACTCTGAATTCAACTCGCAGTGTTTTTGTCCACGCCCAACCGCTAAAAGGGTGCAGACCTGTTTGCCGGAGTAGCATGGTTAGATCATGTCGCAAGCTCCGTTGTTGCGATGTCCAGTGTGACACGGAGCTCCATCTCCTCCGGACACCGCACCTGAGACCACGTGGAAGTAGTCCTCAGGATTCAAGTTTGCAGGAGATCCTCTGCGGTATCTGGAGATTTTGTGAGGTATGGGGAGATCCTCTGAGGTGTTTCGGCCGAATCTCATGTACCATTTCACTCGTTTGGAACGAAGTCAGAGGATTCTAGGCATGTCAGTCCAATCTTTGGCATCCTCACTGGTACAGGGGGCGCAACAAAGGACCAACGGCGACTTCCCGTCAGAAATCCATGTTTTCTGCCACATGATGCAGGATGTCTTCCATTACCCAGACCATCCACGGGACTGGAATAATTGTATGTGTATATGCCATTGTATGCCTACATTGACCTCATGCATCAACCACCCCAATGTAGGTAAGTCCCATACATAGGCCAGTTCCATGGATGGTCTTCCACTGTTGGGTCTTTTTATCAACTCCAGCCCCCGTTGTGTTCAGATGTCAAGATTTGGACGACTTGGCCAGCAAGGATTCAGCCAGGAAACCAGAAGCTAAGAAGAAAACGCACAGGTTTAGGATGGTTTAGGAATCAATAAACTGAAAGTTTTAAAGACACTTCTCACTCGTCCACCCAACAAACATTCCGAGGTCTGACCTAGTTTTAGGGTACCTTCTTGATATTGTTATTCCCTCCTACATGTCTGTGCAAGGTCTATCCTTCTTAGCCCTAGATTTCATTTTGTCCAAGTGCTTGTGACATAGAAGTATATCCTTGTGGAGCCTGTTCAAGATGAAGTCTTTGAAACGTATGAGCTCATCTCTGAGAATCACTTTGCAGAACTGCGGCTTCGGTGACCAAATATCATGTAGCAACATGCAACAACTGTGGATCCAACCGGGGCCACAGGACGGAGATCCCCTCTACTCGAACTCAGGGAAGGCCGGAAAGGCTGAAAAAACTCACTGTCCCTCGCATACTCTTGAAGCTCGAGCGTTGTTTGAACCAAGTAGGCTCTTACCCAAACCCTTCTACTTCACGAGTTTTGAAACTCGAACTCGAATTGTTTTTCCTGCACGTTGGCCCTCTTGTCACAAAAAATGATTCCACATCCTGCTCCACCCATGTCCACCCCCATCCTGCTCACCTCCGCGTCTTGCCCGCGCAGAAAAACGCCCCACCTGCGAGTTGTCGTTGGCGTGCCGCCCACGGCAGGCGCGGCCCGTCGCCCCATCGACGGGCTCGAAGCTGCCGTGGCGGAGGCTTTCAGGATCGACGTAACGGAGGCAGGTGTAGCCGCCTTGGAGAAAACAAAAGAAAGGAAAGTGAACCTTAAGCATATGTATATATATAGTTAATATCATCATCATTGCATTTACTATATATCATAGCACTGCTTCTAGCAAAATGAACTTCATTGAAGTTCCAGTTCAGCCTGTCTGAGGATGAAATCAATGTCTGACAGGTCTTTTATGGGCTTTTGGTGTTTGCTATTGCTTTCAGGATGGTTTTCTGAGCATGCGGCATTGTTGTTTCTTGTTTGAAGCTGGGGTGGTGTTAGACCAACAACTGTTGATGAGGTGAGCGGGGAGTTTTTGTTTTTTTTTTTTTTAAACGTCTGTAGAGTGCTTAGTCTATTGAGGTTAATTGATCGATTAATTGAAAGCAAACAACTGTGGGGCTCCTGAATTGAACAAAAGACTTTAGTAGATCAGTTGATCAACACGGCTGGCGGTGGATGACAGGTGTAGATTTTGAACCGAACCTGGAGATCCCCCAACATTTCCAGCTGCTCGCAGCTGCTGTTGAGCTATATGTTTTCCGAAGTTCAAAGTACCAACTTAAGAAAGAATCTTAAATAGTTGAACTATATAGATCTTGACATCAGACAGTGCTTTCAAGTCTTTGTTTCTGCTGGATTCTCAATGAAATGACTCCCTTCTTGGAATGCAGTCCAGGAGCCCATAAAAAGTCCATGCAGTCCACTGTTCCCTCTCGGTCTGTTTCGGAGAGGGGAGATCGGGCACATCGCTCCTTTCAACTCTCCTTTCATATACCCTATGTGATACCCTGTGCATCGATCCACATACCTTCAGGAAGAGGGTGATTGGAGACATGTTCGGCCTGGAGGGTCGGATAGCTCAGCACTGAGATCTCCCATTCCGCCTTGAAACGTGCCATCTTCGCAGACCACTCACCCCTATAAATCCAGTCGTACGTCCTCAGGTTCGGTACGACTGGACCCGAACATGGCACCTACATAAACAGTCTCCTTCCTCACCGTACCTGAGGTTCGCTACGACTGGATCCCGGCACCTTTCTGAAGACCGGAGACGCTGAAGACCGGAGACTTCGGTGCTTTCGACCGAGGCACTGAGGCGCTTGGAGGCACGGATGGGTCGGGTCCAGATCTCGCAGCGGACGCCCTTGAACTCGAGGCCTGACCGCGAAGCTTCGTCCGTTCGACCGCCGTTCCCGCGTGACGCCGCGTGGTCACGCGGCGAGACGGAGAGAGACCGTGTTGTGTTGTTTTGTTCGAAGGTCAACGGGTTTTGGGGACGACGGCGCGGGTCCACGCAGACTTGGGAGAAGCGAACGCGGACGGGTTCACGTGGGTTCCATGGATCGGATAGATGGGACTGTACGGTCCACTTATGGCCGCCTGGGTTGTCTAATCCACTTGGTCCACGACCCGGGATGCTTGGAACTGAACTGATTGGATGTCTTTTTCGCGATCCGATGTTGGGAGAGGTGTTCTGGCGCCTCAAAAAACGCACTAAATTATGTCCATGTTCAATTCCTTTTTTTTGAAAATTCGGAGTCCAGATGTTCCACACGTGTCTCATGTCGAAAACACTCTGCCCAAGGGATTCCCGGTTCCGGAGGAACGTGTCTCTCAAGCGTCCGGTGCCGAATTCGAAGTTGGATGGCCCATGGATGGCCATCAAATCGACACTCTCATGCACTTGGAAAAAGGGCTAAACCTCGGACCCTGCGCCATGAAGCCGGATGGCTGGAGATGTTCTTGTCTCTCCAGTCTCTCCAGAATTTTTCACATCTTCATCTCAAAACATGTTGTCCATCACACATGGCAGGATTCTGGTAGAGCAATCACCCTGATTCATGAGTTAACTCAAGATTCTGCTGATTTCCACTGTGACGGATTGCTCGTTGCACCGTCACAAGATCCGGTCTTCGCCTTCACATCCGCTGGTGGCTTTACATTGGGCTTGACCTAAGGGCACACGTCAGTCAGCTGGAATGTGGGATGGACTGCCGGGGTGTTGGGGGGTCGGGTGGAAAAAAAGGATTGTCACATTTAATTAATGTCTGTCATGTGTTTTGGACGTGTTTTAACCTGTTTTGTGGTAAAAAGGAAACACGTCGACCAGTGACTCGTCGAGCGAGCAATTGGGGTCCCTGCGATGGCCGACGACCAAATGGGTCCACAGTTGTAGGGTGGCCGCCATGTGAACCATCGGAACCATGGCGATCAAAGCCATTCAGAAGAGGTAAAAGATGGTAAAACATCGTGGGTCTTCTCCACAGGTCTATCCCTCACCTCACAAAGTTGCCTGCCAATTCACTGGCTCACCTGTATGGGCACTGTGGTCTGTCTTTTCTTCTTCGAAACACTGCCCTCAGCAAGCAGGGGGAGAGACACTTTCAATCAAGTGCCGCACAAATCCGGAAGGCTGAGCTCCGTCGTGGTCCGCGCGTCCATTGAGAGAATTCGGGAAGAAACAGGTCTGTCTCTGTGGGGGTCGGATACCACGACGACTGTGACCACCAAGTCACTGACACGAACCCCAAAGCTCCGAGCCACCTGCTGTTCGGACCTTTACCACTTCACCTTGCCATACTCAACTGACAGGACAGTCCTACTTGCTCGATCGGTCGAAGGCTCGCCCACGGGCTCCAGTCGTACCTCCTGGCACCGGTTCGGTATGACTGGACTCTCCTGACACCCACCCCCAGTCCCACCTTGGAAACGAAGGTAGCTACTTGGAGCCCTAAGGCTTCCAAAGATCTGTCGCTTTTGGCTTCGCCCCGAATAACACCGTTATAAAAACCGTTCGAATACGCCCAAGGGGCAATCTGCCAGAGTGGAGCGCTCCACCACCTCTGGAGGATAAAGGGCTCGTCATCTGAAAAAAAAACAGGACCATCATACCATCTGATGGTTAGTTCAATGGACTATCTAGAAAAACCGATGGTTTTATAGTTCAATGGACTATATATAGAGCCCCAAATAGAGAGAAACATATAAAGCCCCCTTTCAAGATGTATTGGGTGAACCGCTTCTATCTACTTGGGGACCACTGTATATCACCTCTCGGGAAGAGAATCCACGTGGGACCACACCGTGGACCCTTCGTGGGTTCGATCATTTTCCCCAGTACCAACCCAGCTGGGTTTTGAGAGTCCATGTTTCCATGTTCATCTGCAGGGGAGTAGTTCAATGGACTATCTCTACTATAAGTATCTATAAGTATCTATAAGTAGTACGAGTAAAAACATGTTGAAACTCCAGCCAGGACACTCATTGGCTGATTATTCAAGAGGGAAGTGGCAAGTGTACAGTATGGAACTTCTTAAGAATTGTTTTAGGGGAAGAACATCTGAAGGGGTTCCAGTAGAAGATATCAGAAGTATACCAGGAAGGCTTTGAAAGTGAAACATTAATCTGGAACCCACTTTCAGGTCAAATCGCTTTCTGTTTGCAAAGAAACATCCATGGAGAGCCACGTTTTTTTTGCTGGAGAATCGATTCCCCTCCGAACCGTGTGATATCGACATCTACCACATCCACGACCAAACATCTAAATCGGCCGATTCCGCCCATCGACGTAGCAAAACCCGTCACCGCTTTTGGCGGCGAACTAAATCGATCCCGGTCCGCGATCGGCCCAGGTCACAACCGACCGGGCGGGTTGGTGGATTTGAATGCTTTTTTCTATCCGATCAACGGACACCTTTGGATCCCTACGTCGTCTGTTTGATCTGTTTGATGCACATGCTTAATTAAGGCAGTGCAGGCTTCTCCGGGTGTGGCGCCCCCGAACGACCCGTCCGCGGGTACCAGTACCGCTGGAAGTTCTGAAGCAACAGGACCGGACCAATCCGATGACTTGGACCCGAACACAGGGGGGTGTTGGAACGGACAAGTCTCAACAATGCATGAGCATGAAAAGCGGTTCAGCCGGTCGGAACCGTCTTGAGACTCTAAACCTGAAACCATGCAGAATGATCAGTGATCTGTGCTGATCATACAACACATGTGTGTGATCTGCTGTGAAGTTGCTGTCATCTGAGTTCTACGATACCTTTCGGAAGCCAAACACAAGGTGTGGAAAAGAAACACACAGATTCGATGAATAAAATCCATCAAACCCATCAAGTAAAATAGAGGAACACCAAGTAAAACTCAACCTGATGTGACCAGAAATATCACATGAACCAACCAGCTGTACAGGTCTACCTACCGCATGTGTTCATTCGAAATAGGCCGGCCCAACCCTCCGCTGGGTTTGCCACCTGGTAGTACTCGGCGGAGTTGTCCGTGGCCGAGTCTCCGCGGCAGGCGCGGTCGTCTCCTCCGTCGACAGGCTCAAAGACGCGCTGCAACCTGCGGGGTTCGACTCGACTCGGCGGGTCGGCAGGGCGGCGATGGACGTTGGGGATTGAGAGATATTGGTTCAATGGAAAGTGAATGAGTCCAGACCATTTCCTTGGGTCAGAATCTAAAACAAATAACTGGCTGCGGCAATATATGGTATTAATATCAAGCTTCGCTTTGAAAACGTCCGTGTGTTCAAGCCAAACAACCTATCTATTAGTCAGTTCAACATACTTTTTTAAGAGGCATGTTTCCATCATCTTCGCTGTTGAAATCTGTTGCGCGCCGCGCAGAGCCGCTCCACACAGCTCTTGGTCCCTCGAACCCGGATTGACGAGACTGCCTCGTGGGTCCAGCGTCTGCATGGGCAATGCATCTATACCAAAGTGCTCGTTACGTTCGTAGCTTCTTGTTCTGTTCGTAGCTTCTGGCCTCCAGCCTAATAGCATCTGGCCTCCACCCGTGCGTAGCTTCTAGCTAGCTAGTAACAAGTTCCCAGACACTCCATCTATGCCATATATGCTTCAATGTATAGAAGGAGATTTCCTTGCATTTGGGTGCTATAACTTTTCATTCAGGTCCCAAGGAGTATGATTTCAGGACATGAATGTTCATGCCCAGTGGCACTTCTTAGACATTCTCCCAACATAAATCAGCTGTTAGATCAGGAGCATCCTGTGTGTTTCTGGGAAGGGGGGGGTATGTACTCCACATGTCCCATGTCGTTTGAAACGTTTCCATTCCCGTGCTTGGCTCTTTTCAGCGCTTCGGACTGGCTCCATCGCAGTCGCTCGAATCTCAGCAGGAATGGGAAATTTACACAATGCGAATTGCTTGGTCTTGATGCATAACCCATGGCTTGCTGCCCTTCAAGAAGTAGAGCGGTTTTCCTCAGCATCATCGCTGTGAAAAGAGAACACCAACAGTCACCAACTTGCATTCTGGTTTATATTCCTTTGATGTTGGACTCAGTGCAAACAGGGTGCGAGGTCGAAGTTCCTGAGTATGGATTTGTTTACAATTTTTGTCTGTCTACTAGCCGCTTATTTGCTGCTGCTGTAAATAGTGGTTTTCCTTTGTTCATGTTTCCTTTAGTGGGCAACGGAACTCTTGATATTCAAGTCACGTTCGTTTCCTTCACATATGCGATCCTCCAAACCATCTTCAAAGCCTGGCTGCCCAGCAGGGCCTGCAAGGAAGGAATGGGAAGTATACCAACATACTAAGACCAACAACACTTTGCATTGCATTCACCCCACAAGTGTCACAAGAGTGTTACAAGCCTTCGCTTCAAAAGCAGACGCTAGTGATGCAAACTTGCAGCTGAAGTCTTTGGGCGTGTTGTACTGAAAAGAGATTGGAGTTGGCTTTGGGGAGATCAGAAAGTAGTCATCGCCTGAAGCAAAGAGAACAAATTGACCCGCCCTCTACAAAAAAACAGTTTCTTGCCAAACACAACTGGGGTAAGCGCTCACTGATTCAGCTGCTCCATCCCCAACAGCACCTGGTCGCTTCATGTCATGATTGTTGATTGAGACGTCGATGACGTCTTCGTCCTCCATTTCAACCAGCAGCCGCCGCCATGTGCTGCGGTCTGAGTCCACACAACTCTTGGAGCCATCTTGAGGGACTTCAAGAATGACTTCCTCCAAATCCGAACGCCACTCACATGTGATCACCTTGTCAAGGTCTCCTGGCACAACATCCCTTGAGCTAGGTGAAGGTACCAGATAATAAACACATTGCATCAAATCATTTGTTCTTTTGCTGATGTGCTTCCCCACTTTCCTTCAACTACGATAAGACCTGGGCTCTTGCCAGTCAGTGCTAGGACTGCCCATCCCAGATTCGCAAAACACTGAGTTCAGCAGGAGAGCCGGGTGTCTAGAAACACCTTAAGCTGGTCCGCTGACGCTTCCTACGAAGGAAATCCCAAACACCAAGCCCCCCTTCACGCTCATGAGCTTTACCCTTAGATTGGAACACCAAACAATACCAAACACTACACTTGGAACAATAATGAACAATACCAAACACTGTACTTTGACAGAAAGCCTGGAGAAGATGTGGAAGGTGTTGGTCAGTGTGACTTTATTGAGTTTCTTTGACCCAACTTCAACTCAGGGCTTGGTGTGCTAAGGTGTGCTTTGAAATCTTCAAGCTTGGAATCCCCACTAATCACTGCCAGCCTTCTTGGGCTTGACCAATCTCCTTTTGACGAGATCGGAGTGGGTCATGTTCTTCATCGAATTTACGCGCTCAGGATGTGTTTGCCACCTGTCAGAACCACGATTCAGTCAATTAGCTGTGTGGGACAGGGGAGCTGCCTTCTCACAAACTAGTCACGAGTTTAGTCAATATTCCAATGTCACTTGTCATAAGGCGCGAACTGTGCACGTGCTTCAGTGAGAACCTCTAGAGGCTTCCAATCAGGGTGCTCCTCCTTGATCCTGGCCATCGCCTCTTTCAAGTGTTGCTGGTAGACAGCCCTGAGGCCAGGATTGGGTTCCTGGCCAATCAACTGTCTCACATGTCTTGCACTGAGGCACATGGAGGCCTGCCTTCTTTGGCTTCTTCTCATCGGCGACAGCCTTTCACAAGGCGGGGTTGGACTTGCACAAAAAGAGGGTCAAAGGGCGATACATCAAGCAGGGTCAAAAGGCGGGAAGGAATTTAGATAGTTAATAACACAATGTACTTCGAAGAAAACCGGCCTTGGGTTTTTTGGATTTCAGCTGCTGCTTCTCTACCTTCCTCCTTGTCTTCGGGCTAGGGTCCAACCAAAGGGTGTCTTCAGAGTTGGCGGGTGAGGAGTCTGGGCTCTCTGGGTCCAGCACAGCATCCTCATCCTCCTGCGAGGGCTGAGTATTTGGGATCTCTTCCTGCTCCTTGTCCTCCTTGGCTTTGCTTGAACTAGGCTTTGAGCGCTTTGAGAAAGCCTTCAACTTGGCTATTGCAGCACGTCTTCGTTCTTTCTTTGCCTCAGCAGTCTCCTTCCCTGGCTCTTCCTCTGCTGTCTTTGCCTTTCCCGTCTTCTTTGCCTTCTTGGCAGACTCTTTGTCCTTCTTGTTCTCATTCTTCATCTCTGCCTTTTCTTGCTTCTTCTTGCCCTTCTCCGCTTCCTCTTGTTTTCCCTCTCCAATTCCTTCTCCTTCTTCTTGTTTTCCCTCTCCAATTCCTTCTCCTTTTTTCTTGCTTCCTTTTCCTGCTCTTTGGCAATGCGTTTCTCCTCCTTCATGGCTTCTTTTTTCCTTCTTCTTTTCTTCCTTGGCCTTCCTTGTGTTTTTTCTTTTCTTCGAGGGTTCTTCTTCATCTGAGTCCAAGGAATCTTCCTCCTCCTCTTCATCCTCCGCTTCTTTCTTGATTTTGTTGTTCTTTGTTGAACGCTCAGGGAAGAGTCGCTTCACGCCAATCTTCGGCGGAGGTTTTTCTTCCTTCTCATTGCCTGTCTTGCCTTCTGCCTGTCCGCTTCTGCCTTCCTTGCCTTTCGTGACTTCTGTCTTGCTTCTCCCTTCTGCTTCAGCCTTCTTTGATTCCTCACTGGGCTTACCTCCTTCTGGACTCAGTTTGAGCTTTCTGGCAACATCCTTTGCTCGCTTGGATTCTTCAACCATTTGGCTCAACTCAGCCACACGTTGAGGCGTCAAGCGAGGATCATTGGCGTCAGTCCTTTCTGCAGATGTCATTGGCAAACGAGCCTTTCCCTCCGGCATACTTTGACCCACTCTGACCGCTTTGCCAGGGTCAGAAACCTTGGGATCGGTCTTCGCCAACGAAGATGAAGGCGGAGATGACAAACGGGCCTTCGGAAGGGCTTTGGCGAGCTTTCGATTTTTAGGGGGGGTTGATAATTGATTTCAATGCTGATTCAATCAAAACGTCCCATATTTAGTGGGCAGCAAAACAAAATGGGGGCCCAGACAGTCGGTGGAGGGGTCTGAGCTGCACCTGGGTCTCCAGCAGCCATGGTTTGGAAGTCCTGCATTTTGGGAAACACCTGGAGAGGGACACCTCGGAAACAGTTGTAGCCAAAAGATCACAAGTGCAGTCCTGCCCAAACCCATGGTCAGCAAGGAGCGACGTCAAGTTCACCATTGAAGCAGAGTTGGCAGAAACAACAGGTCCACACCTTGGCACCCTGGGTACTTGAGTCTGGCCTGTGACTTGATCCCAAACTTTAAGCCGCCAAGTATAAAGGCACTAGGTCAGATCCCATGGCAAGTCTCCAACTGACAAGAAACATTCATGCAAAGAATCAGCCCCGAGTGTTTTTTCCAGTAAACCCATCCTGGTCGAGCTTCCCGTTTCAAGGACATCACCTTCTCGGCTTTCAGGAACTTTGAAGTCCCATGCGCAATCTGAAACTCAGTAGTCGGGATCTCTACAGGCATGTGGGCAACCTGAGATTATTAGAATTTGTTTTTTTGGTTGTGTATAAGTTGGGCCACATATTATCGGTCATGGTGTATAAGTTCAAATGATTCTGCCACAAATCAATAGACTAAGCCACCAAAAAACAGTTTGTAGGTTTGGTTCTCTGCCACTTCGGTAACGGCGCCGTTCCTTGCTTTGGCCTGTACCACATATAATGTAGATCCCGGTGTCCTTCCTGCCACCTTGCTTTCAATCACATACCTGTCTGTGAGATCTTGGACGTTCGTCGGTTCATCCCAAGCCGGCAGGCCTGGGTCCTCCTCCACGATGGCATCAGCAGCGTGGGAATGCGACAGCGTCTCGGGAATAAGGTGACTCTGAAACCTTGGGCGACGGATAACTTCAGGGGGGGGTTGTAAGTTCCCTCAGCAACTTCAGGGTTTCTTCAATCAGGAAAAATCGGCTTTAAACTAAGCTTAAGAAACTTGAGGGTTGCGTGATATGAAAAATTGTTTACAAGAAACCTGGTGTCGAAGTCGCTGATGAGTTCTTTCCATTCTGCCCCAAACACCACATCATCGTAGTAGAGCATACGGAAGTCCTGGCCCAAGGAAATCTTGAGGTTCTTCCATCCTTGGGCATGAGCTGGGCGCTCAACTCGAACGACCTGCATAGGGAATTTGGTCAGGTCAACCTCAGGGAGCTCTGGGGCATGTTTCTGGTAGACCGGGACATCTTTTCCCATAGAATGGCTGCCATGCTTCCACTCCTGCTTCACATGGAGATTTAAACATTGAAAATATATCTTAAACTTGTTTGTTTTTTAAAGTTCATTGAATGGTCCAATTAGGGTAGTATCGCAAGATATCGCAAGATGTAGTCCACCCATGTCCACCCATTAAAACCCAACACAAACGTGCACAGTCCTCTAGGAGCTTGATGGCAAGAACCCGTTGACAGTATTCGATGGTGGTGATGTTCTTGCTGACTGAGAGGCTACGAATCTTGATGTCATTGTTTGCCTCCCACCTGAGGCATGTTTGTTCGACCCAGGTGTCGTAGGGTGTCAGGTTGATGAGGCCCACGTACGATGACGGTAGCTCTGACTTGTTGAACAGCCCGCTCAATACTTGCTTTGGCAGGTCAGGCCCAGCTAGGAACTGAGCACTCTCTTGAAACTCACTCATGCTCCTGCGGACGAGGCATTTAGGAGGATTTGGATTTGTAGGCAGGGTTCCACTTGACCTCCAAAGTTTTCTAAAAACAGACAGGTGGTGGAACCTATCTAAACCCACGAAGCTCCTGGTCTCGCTGGAATGGGGAACGCTATCCTTGGCCACACTCGGAATCACATAGGCGGATTCTGCCAACCACGGGATGTTGTCCCTGATGCCCCTGTCAAGGTGAAACAAACCCTTGAACTTGTGCAGTGTCCAATTTGGGCATAAATCAACAACTGGGCATGGAAATTGTTCATTGTTAAAAATTCTCTCAACTTCAGATTTTGGTCTCGCAGGGCCTGTCTTCAGACAGTTGGCACTTTGAAAAGCAATTGGTGCCCATCGAGCCCTCGTCCATCACGATCCACCCAATGAGCTGCATTGGTACCTGCTTCTGATTTGGTGGTGGTGCCATCCTCAGCACGATCATGATGGAATAAAGGCTCTTGGAATCCATCTTGTTTTCAAACCTCCTGGAGTAGCAGCAAATCATGTGTTTCAATCGTCTAAGGGTGAACCTAAAACAAACGAAGACCGGTTAAGCATCTTTCACACAACATCCTGAGGGTCCAAAAGCCAAAGACTTCTTGGTATCCGGTATATCCAAAAACCAGCAACTCTCAGTCCTCAGCTCTCCTCGCAATCCATTTCCCACCTTCTCCGAGATGAGATGAGGGGCTATGACAATCCCAGCTGAAGTCTCCGGCTTGCGACTCAATATTGTGGAAAGTAGGTCGACACAATCGCTGAGGTCGGAATTTGACACCCGGCCAAGCTTTGTGGCATCCATCCAGGCCACAAGCGCAGCATTGTCTTTGCCGACGTCGTTGATGAACTGCCAGGGGTGAATGTTATCCAGTGGGCTTTAAATGGGCCCCTTTAATATGTCTCGATGTTTTTTTTTGTGTAAAATACTAGCAGGTATTTAGCTAGGCTGGCCTTGTCAACAGCATGTTCCAGTTCTCCAGTACGGCCACCCACATGTCGCATGTTGCCATCCATGAAAGAACTGATAACAGCAGCACCAACCTGGTTCTGGTGCTTGAGGTGTAGTACCCTCTTCATGCGACGTGACCTCTCATTCTGGCACTCGGCTTCGTAAAGAAGACCAAGTTGAGCAGTGTCACGAGTGAGCTTGAGGCAATCCTGTTGCCAAGATGCTTGGCGTGCGTCCTTGTCTAGGAGAACAAGCTTGTTGTCCACCTCATCAAACTGACTGCGTGTTTGCTTGGCTGATGATGGTGCGTGGTCTTGCCAAATCGAAGTATGATGGACTTGGAAACCACCATCCTTGACGGTCAGAATTTCGTCAAACTCAGAACTGTAGTCCCTGAGCGGGATTTGTTGGACTGGAAATATTTAGATTTAAGATTTAATACCACAAATAAAAACTAAAACCAATCATGAATCATGTCATTTAATTTGATCCAATCCAAGTGGCCCATCCACAGTCCTCTGGATGATCTTTTCCAGAATGGGGTCATCAAACATTCTGTTCCCATCATGGTCCTTGGCAAACGTCATCTCCCTGATGATGTAGCAGCCAAGACACATTCTGTTCACCTCACAACACCAATCGGCAACCGCCAGGCGTGGGACACAAGCTTTGCCAGCCCTTCTAAAGGCCAGAGCGTGCAAGAACAACACTCTCTTCAAGAACAGGACTTGGTTCTGCTCTGTGATTGTGAGTATGCTGGTCCACAATGCACAGCACCCAGTCTCCACACCGTCTAGAAGCCATCTCTGGCAAGTGAGGGTCTCTTTGCTGAAGGCTGCACAGGGTTTGAGTATTTCGACATCTTTCGACACTGCATGACGGTGTGACAAAATATCATTATAATAGGCTGCTTTAAGTGTATTGTAACGGATAGTAAACAAGTTAGAGACACTTTGGCCAGTCCCTGCCTGAGTCTTGGAAACGCACTGTGTGGAGGTGTTGTTCAATCATGTCCCATGCCATGTCGGACACCCCCACCTGCCCCAGGGAATTGCGAACAAATCCGTGGATTGAAAAACCTGTCCGAGGCTACATGTCAGGTGCACAACATCTTAAATGGGAACGATTTCAACAACCTGGGATTGAATACATTTTTGTTTCATCCGTTGCCTTCAACCCAAACATTTGACATGCACTTTGTTCATCAATCTGCCAGCGTGTGCTGTGACAAGCTGATCCGTAGCTATTGAACTCGCCAATGGCTTCCATGAAGGCCCTGCGGAAAGCTTCTGCGTCGCGTCCGGGATTCGGATACCTGTCGGGATCCTGAGCAGGGACAGCTGGGATGGTTGTAGCTTTAAAATTTAATCTTTTCAAGCGGTAGATTTGAGCTTGGCAACTCTTTTCAACATATTTAATTCTGAAGTGGATGTGTTTCGCGAGACGAAACCTCACCTCTAGCATAATCTGCCATGCCCTCTTTGAGAAAACCAATGTTTTTTGAAGGACGTTCTTTCGTTGCTGCTCTGCTTGTTGGTCGTGTACTTGAATTCGTCGGTACTCGAACTCGGCTTCGTGAGCGTCGGGCATGAGCGTCACAGTCAGGCTTGTCAAACTGCCCAACCACCTTCCGGCAACCAGTGAAAATTGGATTCTCGTGGAGCCTCCGTTCCCAACAACAGGTTTGATGGGGCAGCAGTTGAAGTTGGAAACACCTTGCACACTGTGCAGGGCCAGGTGGAACTGACTGATAAACGATTGTTTTGTGGCTTCCCCTCGAACAAAGCTGCTTTGGGAGCCCCAGAAGTGACCTACTTACCTGCCCTGTGATGTAAACCTGAAAAACAAAATATTCAGTTTCCACAAAACACCCGAGCTGGGCATCGCCGGCTCCGAGGCGAGGTTTTCGATCGAATGGGCGACTCCGAGGCGAGGTTTTCGATCGACTGGGCGACTCCGAGGCGAGGTTTTCGATCGACTGGGCGGCTCCGAGGCGAGGTT